AAAGACAAAAGAAAGGGTCAATCTTCCTAATCTACTGGAAGGAATAATTTGTTAAAACTCTGGTTAATCTATATTGTCTACTGGAAACAGCCTCTCTATCTCCACAAAGTAGGGATAAGGACTGCACAGTGCACACACACAACCCTCCCCAGACCCCACTATGTGGGATTACACTGGTATATTGTTGTTGTTGTCTGGTTAATCTATATGCACTCCTATCACAGGTTATCTGAATTGTCTCTTCTTGACTAACTATTCTCAGTAAGGTGCTTGAGTTGACACCTATACTGATCATCTATTGGAAACTTTGCGTCACAATATAAAAGATTGAAAGCAACTTGTTCGATCAGATTTATAAATCAACAACCTTCAAAGAATTCATAATTTAATTTCTAATAGCTTGTTTGGATAATGACTAGGGATCAGTAAGCATTTAGACATAAACAAATCTGATTCCACCAAAATCAGATCTCTGTACTGTAAGGTTTCAATTAAAAATCTTTTTTCAAAAATACATGACAAAAGAAAAATAAGGACAGCACAACAAGTTAAGGCTTTCCGTATCAACCATTAGTCTCATTAGCACATAAATCTGGCATTAAGCAAACTTGATATATACCAGACAGAAAGGGAAGTGGAATTCTGGAAAAGAGGGAGGAGGAAGAGCGGTGGAGGAGAGCGTGGAATGAAGATGAAAAAGAGAGTGCGGACAGGGAAGAGGGGATATACTGCTCGAGTTCAAATGAATGAGATATCCTAAGGACTGCTGGAGAGAGAGAAAGGAGAGGAAGGAGAGGAGTGGTTTGACAAGGAAGCTTCCATCATCTTGGCCGATAAGGGACTGAACAAGATAGGGCAATTAAATGGCGCCTCCTGGGACATCATTCCAGATGTGCTAAATGCATGGCCATCATCACTTGGACTTGGATTTGAAATAGAAAGTCAATGTTTCGGTTGTCCGGCCAAAGAAGTAGGAAGACTTTGGGAAGGCCAAATCCTTCCATCCAAATGCTACCGATTAGTATTTTATTATCAAAAGTTGTCAACAGAATTATAGAAGCAAGCAAACTCTTATTTATGAATTTTGAAGTATAAAAGGAAAAGGAGATTCCCAGGAAGCCAACTGATGCAACTCTGAGGTTGTGGTGTAATAGTCAATGAAATTGGAATGGACCATGAGAGAGACACTTGTTCAAATCCCAACGGAGGCAAACAAGCTAGGTAATTTTTTTCCATCTATCTAATTTTTGGTGCAAAAAGTTACCTGATATAAGTTCTAGTGGGAGATAGCAGGTAACCGGTGGATTACTCGGGATGCGTGAGAGCTGGCACGGACACAACTGTTATAACAATTGTTTTTGGGAAAAAACATGTTGGTATGCTGTCTTCTACTACTGTTATGAGATTAAAGATTATAACACAAGTTAAACTAGGCATTAAACAATTATATGGTGAGACGGAGATTAACAGAAGTTTTAGTATTCATACCATAAAAATAAAACAGACAGGACTCTTTATATCAAATTTGCACACTTCACCTGTGCCTACAAATTCAAACATCAAAGTTGGAACCTCCGGCAATTTTTTGTCATTTGCAAGATTGATTGCTCTCACTTGAACTTCATCCAAGAGCTCCACTCTTGACACCTAAGGTGCATTGCAACAAAGAATTACTTCTTTCTCCAACAGAACGTTATGGTTTCTATTTTGAATTGTCAAAAATGTAGACTCAGAGGCCCTCAATTTCCCAATTGCTGAACTAAACAACAAAAATGAGCTCCATCACTAACTCTGCCGAGTACAATTACAGTGTTCAGTTTAAGCAAATGGAAGCATGAAAAGAAAATAAAGATTCAAAAACCGTTAACCTATTTGATATCCTCTGAAGATGTGACTGAATGGAATTTCTTACACTAAGACGATAATAGAGACGTTTAAATCTATTAAACATTGGCTTAATCTTAAGTTACTCATAACAAAAGAACTTTCTAAATCTTTAATGGAAATGAGTCCCATATTTAATCAGTTTAATCAGGCATAATTTGATTTACATGAAACTAGTTGGAATCTGTCAATGAAGTTTGTGTAGCCATGCAGAGAACACTACATATATATTAGGAGACTGGTTCAACAAATTTCATTAGAATTGTGTTATGATTATTCTAATGCATTTAGTTGAGTTCTGACCTGTATACCAGAATGCATAGTGGCTATAGCAACGTCTGCAGCATCTTTAATTGTTGGAAAGTTGCACATTACAACCTGTACAAATATCATGAAAAATGCAAGTTCAACATAAAGCTATTTACAGCACAATATGAGAAGACACAACTCTCTCTAAAATGGGGGTACACAGACTGGCCTAATAGTAGGGACTAACATGAAAAGTATGATTAAGTTTCTAACTTAACTGAGATACAGTGTGTTCTACGACAGAACAAATTTATTGCATCAATCCTTAGCGACATTGTATAGATCAAACCCAGCACATTCAAGAATTTATAATTGCACATGTAGCACCAATAAGGCCTAGTTTCACAGGCAAGCCTGAGGCCACAAGAACCTAAAGTTCTTTCAGGTCCCCATAACAACAGGGTAGTATGCATTTAGTATCAAGTTCTTTCAAGTCTCAACGGCATTAGGGAAGTTTGTAATCCTACCTCAAAAATTTTCAAGTCCCCAAAAATTCCCAGTCATATTATGAAAAATCGATGTTATCATTTGTTTATAGGTTTATTTGAATATCTATTCCGATGGATTTATGACCTATGGAGATGTTAGAATCTCAAAGATATTCTACTCCCTTTGTTTCAATTTACGTGAACTTATTTCCTTTTTAGTCCGTGCCAAAAAGAATGACCCTTTCCATATTTGGAAACAATTTACCTTTATGCAATGATTTACAGCCGCACAAAATATATGTGCCTTATTTTATACCACAAGTTAAAAAAAATTCTCTTTTTTCTTAAACTCCGTGCCCAGTCAAATAGATTCACATAAATTGAAACGGAGGGAGTATAATATTTTAACAACAACAACATACCCAGTATTATCCCACACCATGGGGTCTGGGGAGAGTAGTGTGTACGCAGACCTTACCCCTACCTTGTGAGGATAGAGAAGCTATTTCCAATAGACCCTCGACTCAGGAAAGCATAATTGAAACGGAGGGAGCATAATATTTCAAGAGTATAACTCAATTTACCCCTATAATTATGATTTTCTTTCCTTTCTTAGAATATGCATGCTTAGCTATTTAAACCTCAATGGCTTGACGGAATAATCAACTTGTGTTTTCTTCTTTCTCACATGGTATGGGAGCATTTAATGAGAAAATAATCTTTGGCATGACTCGTAGTGAAGCTGATCACTCTGTGTTTTATCGGCATTCTACTTCAAATTTGTGTGTTTATTTAGTGGTGTATGATGATGATATGGTTAGTACTGGCAATGATCAGGATGGTATCACTAGTTTGAAGCAATATCTTTTTCAACACTTCAGACTAAGGATCTGGGCAGATTGAAGTATTTTCTAGGTATTGAGGTCGCTCAGTCTAGCACAAGTATTTTTTTTTTTCTCAGCAGAAGTATCCCTTAGACATTCTTGAGCAGACAGGAATGATGGGTTGTAGACCCATTGACACTCCTATGGATCCAATTGCCAAACTTCTGCTAGGACAGAGGGAGCCTCTTAGCGATCCCGCAAGATATAGGCAGCTGGTTGGCAAGTTGAATTACCTCACAATGACTAGGCCTGATATTTCATTTCCTATTAGCGTTGTAAGTTGGTTTATAGACTCTCCTTGTGATAGTCATTGGGATACAATTGTCCGAATTCATCGATATATAAAATCAGCTCTAGCCAAAGGACTGTTGTTTGAGGATCAAGGTCATGAGCAGAGTCGATATAGGTAAGACCTATGATATATCAAGGTGGTCAGAAGAGGTAAAGTAAGGTCTAGACTCAAAGAATGTGACATCATCCAACATAAGGCACCTACGAAGCCCTATTGAACTCCTAAATACCCAAGAAAAACACACTTGAGAGCACGAGGAACTAACTTATCCTTCCCAGGAGCGAAGTTATGAACGAAACATATACTCCCAAAAACACGAGGGGGAAGAGAGTATAAGGGCGACAGAGGAAACAATAATGAATGTGGAATTTGATTATGGATGGAAGATGAAGGCATCCGATTAATCAAATAACAAGACGCGAGAACTGCATTGCCCAAAAAAACAACAGAACATGAGACTCAATGAGAAGTGTGCGAGCAATCTCAATAAAGTGCTTATTCTTTCTCTCTACTACCCCATTCTGCTGAGGGGTATACGGATAAGACATCTGATGAATAATTCCCTGAGAAGTCATAAATTGCTAAAACTGATAGGATAAGTATCTTAAAGCATTATCACTGCAAAAGATGCGAGTAGAAACGCCAACATGATTTTTTATTTCAGCAAAAAAACTCTGGAATATAGAAAACAACTTAGAATAAGCTTTCATTAGGAAAATCCAATCTTGAGTAATCATCAATGACACTAATAAAATAACGATATCTTAAGGTTGAACTGACTCTACTAGGACCCCATATATCAGGATGAACTAAAGAAAAAACAGACTTTGCACGACTCTCAACACTACGCAAAGGTGGCTCGGGCATGTTTTCCAAGTTGACACGATTCACAGTCTAATGTAGACAAACTAGACAAACTAGACACCATCTTCTGAAGCTTGGATAAATTCGGATGTCCAACATGCAGTGGAGGGATTGAGTGAGTCAAGGTAGTAAAGGCCTTATGATTCACGTCATGTGCCAATCGTCTGTCCCATACTGCAGACCTACATAATTAGGAGTCATCAATAAAATATATACCACGATGGAGGGCACGAGTCAACAGACTAACAGATGCAAGATTAAAAAGACAGTCGGGTTCATAAAGAACAGAATCTAAAGTGATAGAGGATAAGGGATTAGCTTGGCCAACTCCCCATTGGCTTAAATAACATTGGGAAGAGACTGTGAATAAACAATATTTGAAAAGTGACATATTATCATAGATATGATCAGAGACGCTTGAGTCCATAATCCCCGGTCCAAGAGTAGTAGACTGAGAAACACAAGCAAAGGAATTACCAGCAATAGAAGTATTAGTCTAAGCAACAGAGACTACTTGTGGAGATGTTTGCTTACTTGCTTGATACCACAGGAACTCATTATATTCCCCTTCAGATAAAGAAAGCCCCTGGTTACATGCAATCTTGGTTTGAGCAACATGGCATTTATAGGTGGTCGATCATGCAAAGAGTAACACACCTCATGGGTATGTCCCAGCCTATTATAATAAGAACACTTGGGTCGAGACCTTCCAAAACGACCACCTCCTCGTTTATTCTCCATAGTTTGAGATGCCCAATTTTTCACTATCTGGATGCGAGAACATAGGAGTCAACTATCTGTGATGAGATTATTGTGTGACTAGGCGATGCAGCAAGGCGAAGCAATCGAGAGAATAATTCATTAACAATAGGAACAGTGGTACTAGCTAAAATCTGGTCACGTACTAAATCAAGATCATTAGGAAGTCTGGCGAGTGTAAGAACTAGAAACATCTTTTGTCGTTGTTCTTGTTGCTTTTCAACATTAGTATAAACTGGCAGCAACTTCTCAAATTCTTCTTCTTCCATGACTACCTGTACTTGTCCCAAGTAAGTAGACATATCAATTCCTATTTCTTCAAATTTGTCATCTACGATAACACATCATAGAAACGAGATATGTCGTTAGTATATAAAGTGCGAGCCTTTTCCCAAACTAAATGACATGTCTGGAATGGACGAAACAAGGGCATCAACTTGGGATCAATAGACCGCCACAGGATACTACATAATTGCACATCGATCTTCTCCCAAAGTGCTTTGGCCTTTTCATCTCCCTCACTGGCCTTTTTGGTTAAATGATCTTGAACACTTTGACCCTTGCACCACAACGCAACACAAGAAGCGCAAGCTAAATAGTTTGAACTTCCCACTAAGGGCTCTGAAGTAATCATGAAGCTTGAATTTCCAGAATACGTGTTTTCAGAACCAAATACATCAAATCTCAAAGACAATTTTGGACCAAATAATCAAACAATCAAGAGATCACAAAAAACAGTCAAGCAGCAGCAGAAAAAGGACAATGTAGTCGCCGGAAATTTGAATTAGTAGCCGAAATCTGCAACGAGTCGCTGGAAAATAAAAAAGTTGCCAAAATTTGGTGTAACCTGGATGGGTAGTGATGTTGAGCATAATTTCATATATTTTGCTATTATTTACTCTGTTTTTTTACCGCTTTTTGATTGTATTATATATTTTATATGCCCAATTTTGTTTGAGTATTGAGCTTTATACTTATTTGGTGTTAATTGATAATGTAGGTATATTGGAGAGTGAATATGGAATTTTGGAGAGAGAAAAGAACGAATTACCAATCATCACATAATGATTACTTGGTGAGTAATCATTACATGATGATTGATTGCTTAATAAAGTATAAGTCAATTGAAAGTTAGGCAACAAGAATTGAAAGAGGAGACAACAAGAATTCAATTCTTGCTGCCCAACTTTCAATTGACTTATACTTTATTAACCAATCAATCATCATGTAATGATTACTTACCAAGTAATCATTATGTGATTATTAGGTAATTCATTCTTTTCTTTCTCCAAAATTCCATATTCACTCTCCAATATACCTACATTATCAATTAACACCTAAATAAGTATAAAGCTCAATACTCAAACTAAATTGGGCATATAAAATATAAAATACAATCAAAAAGCGGTAAAAATGCAGAGTAAATAATAGCAAAATATATGAAATTATGCTCAACATCAGGTAGGCTCGGAATAACCTTGCAAACCAACTATCCAGAAGAAATTTTGTCAAAAAAAGGCTGGAGATTGCCTCACGCGCCGGCGCGTAAGTTAGAATCTCAATAACAACCACCCAGTGAGATCCCACATGTAGGGTCTGGGGAGGATAGTGTGTACGCAGATCTTACCCCTACTCCGGAGGAGTAGAGAGGCTGTTTCCGGTAGACCCTTGGCACAAGAAGGAAAAAGACAATGTATCAGTAGCTGCAAAGGAATCCTAACAGATAACACCAGCAACGCAATAACCAGAAAATAGAGAGCAAAGTATTAACACTAAGCATCAACAAAGGCACAATACTACATACGCAAGGGAATAATATGTACATACAGGGCCGCTAAACATACTATAGCCTAACTTTCAACCCTAAAGAAGTATTAAGAACACAACTGAAGCCCCTAGCAGCTTAAAACAAGACACTATCACACTAGCCTCCTATCTCCTAACCTACAACCCTAGTGCTCGACCTCCACAACTTCCTATCAATGGTCATGTCCTCGTAAATCTGCATCCACACCATGTCATGCCTGATCACCTCTCCCCAATATTTCTTAGGTTACTCTCTACCTCTCTTCATACCCGTCAAGGCCAGCCGTTCACACCTCCCCACCTTCACCCGAATATCGTCATTCCTAATCTTATCTAGCTTAGTGTGTCCGCACATCCATCTCAGCATCCTCATCTCTGCAACTTTCATATTCTGGATATGAGAATTCTTCATTGGCCAGCACTCTGCACCATACAACATGGTCGGCCTAACCACCGTTCTATAGAACTTTCCTTTTAAGTTCCGGAGGCACCTTCCTGTCACACAGGACACCAGACGGAAGCCTCCATTTCATCCACCCCACTCCTACACAGTGTGTGACATCCTCGTCAATATCCCTATTCCCCTATATAATCGACCCCAGGTACTTGAAGCCCCAAGAAGGGGATGACTTGTGAGTCAAGCCTCACGTCCACGTCTACGTCCGCTTCACCCGGCACGCTGCTGAACTTGAACTCCATGTATTCAGTCATCCAGCTCAGCTTGAAACCTTTAAACTCAATGGTCCGTCTCCAAACCTCCAACCTCTCGTTAACACCGCCTCACGTCTCATCAATCAGTACTATATCATCAGCAAATAACATACACCATGGCACCTCCCCTTGGATATGGTGTGTCAGTGCGTCCATCATCAGGGCAAATAAGGACGGGTTGATCGCAGATCTTTGGTGTAGCCCCATAACAACCGAAAAATGCTCCGATTGAGTTGGAATCTCGCCGAAGAGAATTTTTCCTGCAGCGTGAGGGCACGTTTGAGGGTTTCTGCCGGAGAAGGTTGGTCGTCGGAGGCTTATTTACCTCATGGTGATATCAGTTTTTACACAACACTAGCGAAAAAGGACTTTTAACTGGACAGACTTGCGGTCACTGGAAAATTTTCCGGTTAACTGATTTTTTTCTTCCTGGAGTAGCTGGTACTTTTGCAAAGCGATGAATCTCTCAAGGTTGCTCTGATACCATGTGAGAAAGCACTGAAAAATTATACTCCCTCCGTTTTAGTTTATATGAATTATTTGATTGGGCACGAAATTTAAGAAAAAAGAGAACTTTTGAACTTGTGGTGTAAAATGAGGCACAAATATTTTGTGGCTATAAATCATTGCACAAAGGAAAATTGTTTTCAAATATGGAAAGGGGTCATTCTTTTTGGCACGGACTAAAAAGGAAATATGTTCACATAAATTGAAACGGAGGGAGTATTATTGAGATCACTTTTCAATATACTACAAGAAGCCTTATTTATAGTTATGCTCTACATAGTACATATTACTCCTATTCCAATGTGGGACTAGACTACTGATATACATAATACATAACTATCTAACAATTGCAGAAGAGAAAATCCATTGCTGAGCAATTTTCCGGCAACTACATCATTGTTCGAGGGTTCATCATTATTCCAGGAGTACTGTGCATATACCAATACCACCAACACATCCGGAACCCTTATGCGACCAAACCCCAAAAACCCCAGCCCATCGAAGCTTCCACTCGCCTTCACGCGCCAGGAAGTCCTCTAATTTTTCCGGCAAGCTCCCCTCACACGTTGCCGCGACATTATGGCCGCTTTCTGGCGAGATTCTTTCTTCGGCGAGACTCGTCTCTTCATTCTAAGACTACCCATCATCTTTTCTGAATTTGTTGACAACTAGAACTAGGATTCCAACATACCAATCAGATTCCGGCAAGGTTTTGCCTTTCAGGATATATTGTCACAAGATTTGTAGTCTAATGATCAGCTTGTAGACACGTTTACCAAGTCTCTCCTAGGCCTCTAGTTAGTTCTATACTCCCTTCGTTTCAATTTAGATGAGGTAGTTTAACTCGGCACGGAGTTTAAAAAAAAAGGAAGACTTTTGAAACTTGTGGTCTTAAAAGTATAAGGAGTAAAAGCTTTGTGGGGCCATAATATTTGTATGGTTATAAAAGCTTCTCATTAAAGGTAAAATGAAGAGTTTAAAGTTGGATTATTTCCAATTATAGAAATGTGTCATTCTTTTTGGAATGGACTAATAAGGAAAGTGTGTTATCTAAATTGAAACAGAGGGAGTATGTAACAAGCTCGGCACATATAATATATATGCACCGGTTTGAAGGGGAGTTTTAGATATTAAATAAACTATTATAGTATTGTAAAGTGTCTCACATTGGACAAGTGTAAATATTCTCATCGTAAACTTTGTATATAAATAGATAGAAGCATGACATATTAAGGTCACTCTTTCCCATCAACTCTTTCTCCCAAGTTATATTTCTAACAAAAACAACGATTGCTAGAAAAAAAATTAAATTGAAAACACCCATCAGGTGTTGACTGGATTTGGTGGCTCCAGTGTTCATGTCAGATTGACACCACTATGCCTCAGTGAAGTCATAAAACCATATGACACAGTATATATCACCTCTTCCCATATAAAATTCAAAAATAATAATCAAGGTAATGAATTTGACAAGCTAGAATTGAATTGAATCCCAAATAGCATTCAATTTTTAACAATCTGAGGTCAAATACAAAATGGATAAACATAACTAGAATCAACTTCAACCGAATTACACAATAGAATTAGATAAGATACAGAGGGTGTTTGGATTGGCTTTTAGGATGGTCAAATCAGTTTTTAAGATCTTTTTAGCTTTTTTCAGTGTTCGGCAAAGTTAAAAAGTGCTTAAAATAAGTTAAAAATTACTTAAAACAAGCCAAAAGTAATAAGCTGGCAACCCCAACTAATTGTTTTTGGTTTAAAAGTTATTTCTGCTGAAAAATCACTTTTTTAAGCCAATCCAAACTGGCTCACAATCTCTTTCTTCTTTTTTAGGTCAGATACAATCTTGATCTCAAAGTTGCTAGACCGTTTACATATTGTTGTCCAACGACGTTCAGTGAAACCTAACCCACGACCCCTACCCACTTCAAGTTGCATATTTCAGAGTGGGGTAAAATTAAGCTTAATGTTGTGACAGGAGACAGAATTGATAATTGACCTATTTCTTTTCCTTCCCACCCAATTTGAGGATTGATCTACAGACTCTTCATCGACAAATAGAGAAATATTTTTTCAGAAAGTGGTTTTCGTAAATAGCTGTGGAAGTCTTTCTATCCGTTGCACTAGACATAGCCATGTGATAGTATGAACAAGTGTCAAATATCACTCTTTCTTGATCAGTAAAGATATTTAATTATCATGAGTGAGAACATTCAAGTTTCACATTTACCATTTGTTCAGAAGACCATACATTGATTATAAGTTCTCCCACAGTAGAATGCCTGAATGTAATTAGATATTCCCCTAGTACGTTGAAAACATTTACAGAGTTGAATGTTGCGAAAAACAGGACTCATACTTGAGAATATCTACATCAAGGAAAAGTAAAAACAGTAAAATACCACTGAAGACTGTGGAAGTTTCTGCAAGCGCAAGGTTATTTCAGTTATAACGCCTAAAGTGCCTTCACTTCCAATCATCAGGCGTGTCAAATCGTACCTGCAACAAGCAGCTTCACCACTTTTAATGAATGCTAGCTGGACAGTTTCTTAATGTAAACAGTACAATCAGAAACTGATACCAAAATTAAAACAAAGAATCATATTTTAACTGAGAAAGCAAAAGATACTACAGATTTTTAACACAAGAAACACTCAATGATCATTCAGAAAAGTCTATGCATATCAATAGTCATCATATTTCTTCAGAATGATAGAGCAGAGAAGTCTATATGAACAACTAATAAAAGTGTGATTACGGAAAAGTCTATTGTATCCTACATAAGACGATGCAGTACTAGCTACTCATCCATATCTGCATCATCTCTCAGTCAGTCTAGCAGAATGTTTGATATTAACGATGTTTTCAAAGGCTCATTGCATCAGTATAAAATTAACGAAATGCATTAGCTGCATTTTACTGGTCATGTCACCATTTCATTGCAATTTGGTGCATTGATTGTGGACGACAATTTGGAAACTCTTTGAAATGGAATGGGTGATGCTGGATACAGCCAAAGGCTTAGCCCCTAGTTGAGCGTTTATGAGAAAAAGGAGAAGATCTGGAGTTGGGAAGTAGTCCATTTGGCACTTATGTGCAATATTGAAAGAGAGAAACCGACAAGCTTTCAAATGCATTGAGAATAGCTCTGCACAGATGAGAGGAATACTTATGGCTTTTTATAAAGTATAAACCTTTGGAGCACGTATGAGATTCCAAATAGTGCAGATAACCGAATGCTCTTTGTAAAGAGCCATACTTTTATCTAAAACTATTACTTTTGTACACTTCTTAAATATGGGAGTCTCTTTCTCCCGACCATACATCAATAAAATCTTAACATTATCAAATAAATTGGTCGTATTATGGAATTTATATTTAAATACTCATCAGCATATGACCCATATAAACTATCCAGAAACATGTTCAAGATTCACTGGTGGGGTACATACTTGAAAAATGTTTAAACATGAATGCTACTTCCAAAATTCATAATCTTAAGACAAAGGAAAGACTGTCTGGAGTTTGAAATCCATGTCTATCTAAGTTGACCTGAGGCTAAGAGGCCAACTCCTAGAAGCTCACCTTCCTCGTTGACATTAATGGAATTTCGTATTTAATAAATTATCAAGAGAAATAATGGTAAATAATGAGAGCTAACAGCATTATCATTACAGTGAAGATGCCTATGCATCCAACTATTATATGATTGAAAATCGCATCACCTATTTTCATTCTTCATTAAGGATATTAAAACAAGATCAAGTTGTTCGAAGAGCAGTGTTGTCAACAGCGAAAAGCTCTAAAAAGCGCTTCAGGTCTACTGGGGCTTTAAGCGCAAAGCGCAATTAAAATATCGGCTTTATTTAAAAAAAGTCACAACGAAGGAAAGAAATAAATATATATGTAATTCAATAAAAAAGAGTAACAAATTCACTCATGATGTTTTACTCAACAACTAAATTATTATTGTTCTTTAGTACTACCCAATTCAAGATAGAACTCATGGGAAATAAGGCACACGCCTTAGTGTCTTGCTTACACTGAAGCGCAGCCTAAGCGAGGCGAAGCGCGCTCTTTTCTGAGCTTCAGGGCTTAAGTGCGCCTTAAATGAGCCTTTGACAACACTGTCGAAGAGAAAAGGATATCAAGTTACGAAACATCGAGACTAATGTAAGAAAACGCACCCAGCAGCACTTTTTCTGGCACGAGATGCAGTCCTCATAACTTCTCCATCAGCTAGAACAACCTGCAAGAGAACTATATTTAACATTTGGCTCTCCCATCAATACAAGCCTTTGATATCAACTTACTACCTTAAGATTGATGACGTTATCCCGCATTGTACCATACCTACATGCTAGAGAAAACTCTTAGTTGGAAACAAGCCAAAGAATAGCGAATTTAAGATCAACAGAATTAAGATAATAGTAAATCCAATATTTACGGGGCCACAATTAGAGAACTTTTTTATCCAAATTGTGATATAATATATTTCAAAACTATCAACGGGCGTAGCCAACTTCCTCCTCTTGCATTTTTTGTGGGGCTACTTTAGATGAATCCTCAAGAACTACTAGGTAAATGTAAAGGTCAAGGACAAAGAAGCTTAACAACTTGATGAAGAATATATGGAAATAGAACACGAGGAGGAGCAAATTCGTTTATGCAATTAAATCAGTTTTCCAAATTGCTGTTCAACGGCTTATTTTCAGTTTCAGCACTTCTACCCAAATGTGTAATTGCTTCTTCATAAAATAAAATCAGCTCCAACACTTAAAAAGTGTTTTTCAGCACTTGGTGCTTAAAAGCTACTCTTTTAAGCTAAGCCAAATCGGCTCTAAGTCTACCACATATAGAAACTTAACACAACACATAACAAGTAGATAGTCCAAAGCTAGTAGTTCTATTTCCAGGATCTCTAACTTAATGTTTCATGGTTTAAATTTAAAATTGTGATTACGAATCACGCAATATCTATTAATTTGGAAACAAAGGTGCTTGGGGTCAAGAAATTATCACAAGCAATATCTATTAATTTTGAAACAAAGATGTTTGGGGGTCAAGAAATTATCAAAGTCACACAACTCTTTTTTGCAGATGACGTCCTTTTTTCTTGCAATGCCGAACATAGTGCTGACAATTGGCACAATTCATACCCGTATTTTACCAATCCGCTCACATTTAAACGGTTTGGTGGGTGACATTAAAATATGGGTCAAATGCGGATTGAGCCCATTTTTAACCATAGAAAAGTGGATTAAAAGTTGGTAAAAATATGGGTTTAACATATTTCAGGCTTAATTTGGGAAAATCATGTCTTCTCTTTGTTAGGCAAGGTTGTTTCTATCCTTACATTGAAAGACAATGATTATCCTTTTTAAAGCTTACCAATCACCAGAAATGCCATGTTTTTTTTATACAGTAAATAATTTTATTAACATTGAAAAAATCTCCTATGTACAAGAGGTACATCAAAAAGTGAAGAATCTACAACAAAATATTATTCTCTACGTTCAGTCATCTGTACAAATAGGAATCTCATGGGTGGACCAAAAAGCAATCAAAAACAAAAGACAATTCCTCAAGTGTACAAAATCATTTTCAATCCCCTCGAATGCTCTCATATTTTCCCACATAAGAGCTAGCTAGCAACCGTCCATGTCCTTTATCTTCTTCTCCTACTTCTACCAGCCCCGCCGTGCAACACATCTTTGTCAGTGCCTGGCATCACTCGCTATTTATCAAACCAATTCAAGATTACCCTCCACAGACCCAAGGCCACCTTAATGCACCAAAAGATGATCAACTTCTTCACCCGAACATTTGCACATATAGTACTAGCTAACATAGGTAATATTTCTCTTGCTTAGATTCTCAACTATCATAATCGCTCCCCTTGCTACCAAATACGCAACAACAACAACAAAAAATAGCACTTTCCTAGCCGCCCTTGGAATACAAACCAACAAGTGAGGAAAACATGTCTGCTCTCTCACTAGCAACTTCTCATAAAAAGATTTGACTTTGAATAATAGCCTATATGGCCAAGCTTCTAAATTCAACTTATTTTGAGAAGTGCTTTTCTCAAAAGTGTTTTTCAAAAAAGTACTTTTGGTGATAAACAATTTGTGTTTGGCTACTTAATTTGAAAAGCACTTTTGAGTAGCAATTAGTGTTTGGCCAAACTTTTAGAAAGTGTTTCTAAGTGTATTTTTCTCAAAAGTGCTTTACAAAAAAGTGTTCTTTGGGAGAAACTATTTTTTTCTGCTTCTACACAAAAGCACTTTTTCCTTCAAAAAGCTTGGCCAGACACCTTAACTTTGGAAAAAAGTACTTTTGCACAAATAAAAATACTTTTGACTCAAAAGAAGCTTGGCCAAACGGCTATAAGCATTCACTCCTCAATGCCTATCTCCACGAATCCTTATTAGATGGATGTATGATATGCTTATATAGTACCTTCATCAACCTTTGGAACTCCCCCAACTCTCATTCTTGTAAATTTCTCCTAAACCTTAGGGCTTAGGCCCAAAGTACTTCCCCATTATGCACCCTTCGAATCTTTTGGACTGACAAATCGCTCTAGTTCGAAATTCTGAGGGAATGAAACCCTCAATTTGTCCTCCCATACCACTATTGGTTCCAAAAGCTAATTGTTCTCCCATCCTTAACCCTAAAAGTAATATGACCACAGAAGTCTTCCCACCACTCCATATATTACACCCAAATAGGTCTGAAATAGATTTAGCCCCCCCCCCTCCCTCCACTCCACACACCCCACCACATAGTACCATACTTCTCTACTACTACCTCTTTCCATAAAGCATGCTCCTCCACCTGAAATCCCCATAACCATTTCCATAGCAGAGCTTTATTGTACACCCTAAATCTTTCACCCCTAACCATCTCCCTCGCAAAAATACCACGTTTATTGGAGATTTATTGATTGGATCAGAAGATGTAACATCGGTACTATTTTCCCTGGCATCCATGTCGCCAAAGAAAGAAACCCAACTAGAAGAACTGACTAGTGGGCTAGGAAAGGGAGAGCTGAACGTTGTCAAAGTTTTCCATTTTGTGTTGGCACTGGACGGAAGTTTTGGCAAGGAAGCATCACCGACCTGGTGGGCATCTTCTGCATCAATATCACTACTAGCGAAATGGGTTGGAGGAACAAGATGGGGTGGGTGGGGAATGGATAGTAACAAGAGGTGCGAGATAGCAAAAATGATGGGGTAGGATAGAGGTTGAGGATGTCACTGTGTGATGATGCCGAGAAGATAGGGATGTAAGGCAGGGGTGGTGGAGGCATTGAATATTGGCCACTTATTTCATTTGGCACGTGAGTTATTTATAGATGATTACAATTAAGAGACATAAGAGCCACAAGTGGGAATTCAATTCTTCCAGGTTATCATGATGACAGTGAGGAGCCAAAATAGGTACTGGTATTTAATTCTTGTACAGAATATGAGTTACCCAAACTACCTGTCACACAACCCATTCTTGACCTATTTTAAATATGGACAGGTTGGGTGTTTAAGCAACTTTTACTCAACCAGTTTTCAACCCGCCCAAACCCAATCTGACCCACCCATTTGCCAGCACTAGCCAACGGTAACCAGCTGGAAGCCTTGACACAGGTGCTTATGTGGTTTCAGACTGTGATGGACTCAAGATCAACCTCAAAAAATGTGATAATCCAAGTAGATGAAACGGTACATTTGATATTCTGGCAAATGTGCTTAGTTGCTGGTTCGGAGCCCTCCCAACCACTTATCTTGATATGCTTTTGTGTTCATCAGTGAAATTACACTTGATCAAGAAAATATTAGAAAAAAAAATTTGGAAATCACATGATGTCTTTGTTATTCATAGTATTGCTTTAAAGTTTCCGATAACACTTCACAGAAACAAACAAAAAACAAAAAGAAAGGAATTAAAGTATGAAAGCACACGACATATAATTAGAGAGCATTTTCCAGCAACAAACATGAAAGATGAGATTATCTCTAAGGGAACAGTCTCAGAGCAACTACCTCACAGCTAAAGAACCAGAGCACCGTGTAGCACACATTCCCCCGATAGTTGCCCCAGGTCCTGAAACATGGCATGTTCACACATCTCAAAATTTAAGAACATACAGATGAAATATCATCTGCGTTAAGTAGAGACTTTATATATAAGAGTTACAAAATTTCAAATCGACAATGGAGCATGGAAAAAGAAAGGGATTACAGCAAAGGCAGGTAACAAAATTTGGACATACAAGCTAATAGCAAGAGGATTTAGAGTCATGTCCACTGAAAATGATACTAAACATGAAGACAGCTAAACCAAAATCACTGCTGATCAATAAAGATAGGCATACAATTACAATTATCTGTAACCCGGACCAGTTTTGGAGAAATAGGTCAAGATGAATATTCGGATGCATTTTAATTCATTCATGTAATGTGATGAAGCCAATTGAACTGTAATTCTGGATATATGGAGTAAGGAAATTGACTTGAAAGTTTTCTTTTTTTTCCCACAACAAATTTGGCTGACTTTGGTTGTATTTTTTATAATAGATAAATGTAAAAGGTTGACTTTAGGATATAGTTAATGGAACGATGAAATAAAGCACAGTGCGAGGAACTTTTGGACTTGATACCAAATTAGCCGAGAATTTGAGATCATCTCCAAAATTTTAACTTTTTCTGGTTCTACTCTATCTTTTCCGGAAATTATAGGTCAATCAGAACTAATAAACAAAAGTTGCAGCAACTGGAATTGTGGAATTATATAGCATCCTGTATCGGGCATAAATAAGCCATCCAACAGGGTTTCTAGTGCCTTAGGCTATTCCATCCATTACCTCAAAGTTTAAGGCCGGATGTTCAGATTCTTTTACATACTATCAGAGCCAATCTTTGCCCAATCTCGCACTTAAATATGTATTGAAGTCCTTGCGTGAACACAAGAATTGAGTTACACATACTGGATAGTGTATATTTATATAGTGTTCTCATCGGGTATAAAAATAGCATTCTGCGAGATCTATAATGGTTTTAGCCTTTAAAGCCACTTCACTAAATACCTTAAGGTTTTAGGTTGGATGCTCAGATCCTTTCACATGAATTTTAGTACAAAAATTAACTGTAAGAATGGAATGAAAGTGAATCAGACTATAGATTTGGGATCTGATACATGCCTATTCAACTACTTTTCGTCATCTCCCACCTTACTTGAATGATACTGAAGAAAGAACAATGAGATTATTCTCAAGACATCATTGAACATAAAAGATAAGAGGTGAGATTTGATCTAAACTTCTGCAACAAAGTGAACAACGTATTCAACAATGACAACATTAAAAGAATAAGAGGCAATATCTGGGAAAAAGAAAAAGAACTGATACCTATATATGTTTCTATAAATACTTTTCTATAAGCAAAAAGGGAAAAGTTCAGTCAACTGGAAAACAAAGTTTCTTTAGCTAGGTCAAAGTTCCGAAGCTTCTTGTAGGGCACTAAACTGAAATACAACCTCTATGATAACAAAGGCACAACTTTGACAATACAATGATTTAACTGGGTTTAAATTCAAAGAAAAAAGTGAAAAGATATAATTTCTGCTCAGCATACTATCTTAACCCATGTTGCATCTTAGTTGCACCAATTTAAACTGAAAAGGATTAAATAGATCTCTTCAGAGAGGTTCTTTATTTTATTATTTTTGATAAGTAACTTTGGAAAGAGTTTTGTAATACCAAACTAGTTTAAACCTTTTCTTCTACATTTTACAGTTGGAAATCAATACCATGTTCTTGGTTCCTTTTTTGGGAATAGTACAGAAACACCTTTCGCCATATTTCTTAAGCAGCAACAAGGAGAGCTTCACGTTACCAACCAATCATGAAAGTGGTTTTTTCAATTATTTGAAGCAATTACCACCAGATTCAAAACAACTTACACATAGTCTGAACCCAAAATTCACTGATACATATTTGAGAAAAATATTGTTATAGTATGGCAACTAAGAAGATCTATAGCAGTAGAGTGAAGATCTGTTGTTCTCTACATCACTCCAAATATCGCAAACCTGTGCATAGAATATATTGTTTGTAAAAAATTATGTCTCTTATGTTTCCGCTTTACTTTCAGAGTGCTTTCACCATCTCTTACTTTTCTAACAATTAAGATCTTTGTAAATGCTTAAATCACATATATGAAAAACATCAATATTGAGTGTGTGTATATATTAAGAACACATTAGTACCATTGTGTTTACCAATGTTTAGGGTTACTACTTAGCAGTACTTATAAAGAAAATCATAAATTTGAAAATCATCTCAAAGCGCAACAAAGGATTTTATTCAAAGATAAAGAGAGTAAAAGTAGGGAAAACTATGAACACTTTTAACCAAAGGAAGATAACAGGACTAACCAGGATCAAGGGGAAAAAAGAGACCATAGGGCTTCAAGTACTCATTGAGCTCCATCCATCCAATGCCTGGTTCAACCACCACATCCATGTCCTCAACGTGCAAAGCTTTAACACGCTACATTTTGAGTAGTTCACAGTAAAGTAAGTAATGGGGACAAGGAATCAGGAACTATAATGCATAAATGCCATAGCAAAGGCAATTTTTTCATAACTGCAATTGCAAAGACAGCCTTGAGCCGAGGGTCTATCGAAAACAGCCTCTCTATCTTTATAAGGTAGGGGTAAGGTCTGCGTACACACTACCTTCCCCAGACCCCATTTATGGGATTAAACTGGGCTTCTTGTTGCTGTTGTAATTGCAAAGACAGCCATCATTTTTAACTGCCATTGCAGCATCAAACTTAATAAAGATGAACGAAATCAATATATTCATAACATAAAAGTTAGATTTTTTTTTACTTTGCCACCACATTATAGGTTAAATTCCCAGCAAAAAGGAAAAATAACTAAAAACAGGGTGGTATAAAGAGAAGTCGGTGAAGGGCCAAAGCACCTCAGAAAACACTGAGAGTATCTGGCAAAAGCTGATCTTGATAATCCACTTTGCCCTTCTGTTATATACAAAATTTTCCCCGTGGACTATCATAAGAGCAATTTCCTCAGTATACACTAGTTATGTTGCGTTAGAACAGGGCAGTTCCAGAATAAATCAATAGCTAATTGGGGTATTTTATTATCTGAATACATGGATCTTGGTTTATGAAGAAACTTCTATTGATCGTTGATGCACTAAATCTCAACTGGTTAATGATGGACCCTAACAAGTTTAACCAAACCATAAAACATACAGCACATTAAATATGAGTTTCCAACGATCCCGGATATCAAGCCTATGTGAGAAGCCACATGGTATCATCAGTTTATTACAATAGTCTGTTTTAGAAAAAAACACCAAAAGGACCAATACCTTTATCATCCGTATAATCAGCTCTAGGAATACACAATTCCAAAGGATTTGATGTCAAGATGGTTGACAAGATACTATCAAGAAACATATAGCAACCAAATGTGGTTTATTATCCTTCTGATCCACAAGGAGGTATAATTATGTGACTTAATCGAATTAAATAGGACGGTATATAAATGAAATTTCAAAAGCCTTCCTCCAAATAAATGAAATTTCAAAAGTAAGCCTTACATTCATCAATGTCATATCAATGCAAACACCGCCGTTGGGAGATAAGGTGTGTCCCTCAATAGAGGTAGCTCCTCCGTAGGGCACAATAGGGACCTGCAACAACAATTTCCTGAATCGAACTGGATGATGTGCATGAATGACACAAGTATAAAACCATATTAACATTGTTAGCGGAAACGTAAAAGAAAGAACACAAAATTTAACGTGGTTCGGATCAAAATAATCCTACGTCCACCAGAGAACAGTTGCCTTTTTATTATTAATAAAGGAAGGGGAGAGTTCCCAATTACACTTAAGAGAATTTCTCTCTTAACTCTTTACTCACTACAATGTATTGTATTATTTTTGGGATGATTTCTACAAATGAAGGAGTGCATCTATTTATAGAGGTAAAGACCTCCTCTTGATGTCATTGGTGACATCAAACTACTTCCTCTTGATGTCATGGGTGACATCAAAGGAGGAAGCTTCCTCCTAGCATCCACACCAACTCTTTCCATCAACTCTTCCAATTGGCATGCCATTGTTGACTAAACATAAACCAACACTTTCAATCTCCACCTTGATTTGCGTTTCGAGCGTGCGTGTGNATCTAAGAGTTGATTCCAACTTAACCAAACTCAATTCCGCTACTAAACACCAGATAGCTTCCTTCACAGCCTCTGCTGCTGTCATATATTCTGCTTTTGTCATAGATAAAGCGACAATCGACTGCAGAGTCGACTTCCAACTAACGGCACTGCCAACGAGGGTAAAGATGTATCCAGTTGTGGACCTTCTTCTGTTAAGATCTCCCGCATAGTCAGAATCTACATAACCGAGAATTGAAAGACCTCCACCACTTTTTCGAAAGGTCAGACCAACACNTGACCATACCTCATTCGGAGTCTTAAAGTCAATTGCCGATGCTGGAGATCGATTGACAATATGAGCAGCAGTGTGAACTGCTTCAGCCCAAAATACTTTGGACATTTTGGCTTGTAGGAGCATACAACGAGCCTTTTCAAGAAGAGTTCTGTTCATTCTCTCGGCAACTCCATTCTGCTGTGGGGTATGCCTGACAGTCCTATGTCTTGAGATCCCATGAACCTTGCAGAATTCATTAAACTCTTCATTGCAAAACTCCAAGCCATTGTCTGTGCGAAGATACTTGATTTTCCGCTCCATTTGATTTTCAACCAAAATCTTCCACTCTTTAAATGCTTCAAAAGCATCACTTTTTGCCTTCAAAAAATGCACCCAAACCTTTCGTGAGAAATCATCAATAAAAGTGAGAAGATACCTTTTTCTGCCCTTCGATGGAAGTTTAGAGAGACCTCATGAATCTGAATGGATGTAGTCTAGCACTCCTCTTGTCTTGTGTTTGCCAGTGCTGAAGTTGACCTTCTTCTGCTTCCCTAGAATGCAATGCTCACAGAAGTCAAGTGTGCTGATCTTCTCACCATCCAAAAGGTTACGATTGCTCAACATCTCCAGTTCACGTGTGCTCATATGACCTAGTTTCATGTGCCATAATCTTGCCTTGTCATCATTAGATAACTACACTGTAGATGCATTTGCAGAGCCAACAATGGTGCTCCCGGCCAAAGTGTAAAGGCCGTTCTCCAGCTTGACTTTCAGCATGACTAAAGAACCTTTAGTCACCTTTATAGTTCCTGCTTCGCTCATGTACCTGTAGCCTTGTTCATCCAGAGTACTCAGGGAGATCAAATTCTTCTTCAGATCAGGAACATGACGGACTTGTGTAATAGTCCTCACGACTCCATCATGGCAGCGAACCCGGACTGAGCCAATGCCAACTATTGCACAAGTTGCATTATTGCCCATTACTACGGTTCCTCCACTGTTCTCATAGCTGCTAAACCAGTCTTTTCGGAACGTCATATGCAGAGTACAAGCAGAGTCTAACACCCATTTGTTTTCATAACTACTATTATTATTACACGATGTTGTTAGTACATAATCATTATCAAAATTATGTACCTGTTCAACTGTAGATGCACTCGCCTTTTCCTTGGACTTTGACATTGGGCAATCTCGTTCAAAGTGCCCCTACTTGCCACAACCCCAACACTCTGTATTCTTCTTGTTCACACGAGACTTTGATTTGCTCTTTCCCTGTTGGCTAGTCCGGCCTCTTACAAACAGTCCATTTGTCTGGTCATCTCTATCTCCTTCAATGTGCCTCCGCACATCATTAGAGTTAAGTGTCTGCCGCACTTGCTCAAGCTTGATAGGCTCCTTGCTATACATCATTGAATTCTCAATATCACGATATCCTGAAGTCAATGAAAATAGCAAAGTACATGCAAGCGTCTCCTCCTCCTTTTTAATTCCTGCAATTTGTAAGTCCATGATAAGTTTATTGAACGCATATAAATGATCGTAACGAAGTACCTGACCCCATCTTAAATGTGTGAAGACGCCGTTGTAACAACATCCTTGTTGTCACTGATCGGTCTTGGTATAGCCCTTCTAGCTTTTCCGATAACTGTTTAGCNCCACCAGAGAACAATTGCCTTTTTATTATTAACAAAGGAAGGGGAGAGTTCCCAATTACACTTATGAGAATTTCTCTCTTAACTCTCTACTCACTACAATGTATTGTATTATTTTTGGGATGATTTCCACAAATGAAGGAGTGCATCTATTTATAGAGGTAAAGACTTCCTCTTGATGTCATTGGTGACATCAAACTACCTCCTCTTGATGTCATGGGTGACATCAAAGGAGGAAGCTTCCTCCTAGCATCCACACCAACTCTTTCCACCAACTCTTCCAATTGGCATGCCATTGTTGACTAAACATAAACCAACACTTTCAAATAGCATAGACAAGGTTTCTAATAAGAACTCACTAAGGAACATATGGTTTATTGACAAGTTATGCACAGATTATAATATAACTATTGCAATACGGGTGAATAACAATCACAGGACTACTTGTATTGGTTATTGGGTGCTTGGCTAACCACATTACATCTTAGTGTCTAATCTAAAACTTGTGTTTGGTTAGAAATTGGATAGAGACTCGTTTCCAATACTACCCTTGGCCTGACAACATTATTCTATCCAATAATACTTTGACTATAATGATTAGCAACATTATCAAAAAAATTAAATATATTTTATAGTTTGACTTGGCACAAAGTTTAAGGAAAAAAAAAGACTTTTAGAACATGTGGTCCTAAAAGCTTAAGGGGCAAAAGCTTGTGGGGCCATGACATTTTTGTGACTATAAAAGCTTATCATTAAGGGCATAGTGGGTAAAATGAAAAGTTTGAAGTTAAATTGTTTCCGAAATTTAGAAATGTGTCTTTTTTTTGGAACTCACTAATAAAGAAAGTGTCATTTAAATTGAAATAGAATGAGTAATTTGTATCGTATCAAATAAAGAACGGTTGTAAGAGGATATATAAAATAAGGTATATTACAATATGAAATAGATGGAGAAATAAATATTGCATTCCCCTACTAACATGAAAAATATTTTAAACACATTCCTATAACTTTAAAATAAATACTAAAAAAATTATTCAAGGCAAATGAAACATATCAAGTAAGAAATGACTAACTAAACAAGCGAGAATATATAGGACATCTTTTCAATTTACGTAAACAAATGCTTAACTAAACACGCAACAATAAAGGACACCTTTATACAACAACAACAACAACAACCCAGTATAATCCCACTTAGTGGGGTGTGGGGAGGGTAATGTGTACGCAGAGCTTACCCCTACCCTGGGGTAGAGAGGCTGTTTCCAAATAGACCCCCGGCATCCTTCCAACTTCCCACCTTGCTCTTGGGGAGACTCGAACTCACAACCTCTTGGTTGGAAGTGGAGGTTGCTTACCATCAGAGCAACCCCTCTTGTCAAAGGACACCTTTATCATTTACATATTCTTGTGCAGGTATTGTTAATATGCCTTTTGTTATTCCACATGGAAAAAATGCAACCAGACACCCAACTGTTAATCTGGAATTTTGTAACGGGAGTATTTCCATAATGTGAGTGACCAAATAAGCCCTAATGCTAAGGGTATTTCATTGTACTTACTGCATAGCATCTATGTCATTTAAGCATAAGAAACTCATAGTTACTTTTCAGCACATAAAAGATATAGGAGATCGCCACTTCCATCTACAAATTTATGATTGAGAAAGCTCAAGTGCTAATTCATTGCCTTCTGTACAAAAGTTAATGCAAAATAATAGAGACAAAATACTCCGAAGTGCAATACAGACCTTGTGCTTGTTGCAAGACCTAACTATCTTAGACACCTCCTCCTCAGACCTGCATTTGGGAGAACAAGTTGAATGATAATCATTATGTTTTTCAATTAGATAAAAGCAATCACCATGAACAATAAAATAGCTACAGCTCCACCTTGTTTAAAAAGCTAGGTTTTTGTAGTGATTTATTGATCTTGAAGGCATAATGATATGCAAGCAGATAACTAGTTCTTCATCTTCAGTTGATTTTGTTTTCCTTACATTTCCAGATAGGATCTTTCAAATGGCAACACTGGCAAACATATCATTCTCAAGAAAGAGAAAACATACTACTAATTTCTAATACTATGGAATTTGTCAGCATTAAGTTTAGAAGTATCTTACAATACACATTGATTACTTGTCTGTACCATGTGATAGTTTGACTTACCACAATGTCCAAGGTGACTCTTGAAATTGCAATTAATCAGGTCTGTATAGGAGGGTGAAAAATCTAATTTTCATTTACTTGGAGATACAAAGGTGGAAACATGTAACTATTAATATGCTACTCAAGAAGATAACAGTAAGCAAAAGCACTGTCATCTGCGGAAACCAAAAATTATCTTAGAATGAGGGGAAAAAACAACCATGTTCTCTTTGAGACTAGGGAGTCCAGAAGACAAACCCTCCTTAACTTTCAAGACAAACTTAGCCTGCTGAAATTCATTGTGTTTCTCTGTTCTATCTATTTATGATTTGGGGAGAGGGGACGGACGCCTGACATAAAACACATGTTAAGAATACATCCCACATCGGACAAAAACTTATATAGACTGCAAATCCTGGTCTACAAAGGAATAGAAATAAAACTGTAATAGAGCAAAGAATTTAGAAGGAAGGAAAGCAATAAGAATAGAAACCTTGTTCCAAAGAATGAATCTGACCTTGGATAAACTACGACATCAGGGATGTTTACTGCTTTATGGAAGCTGTTCTGTGGCTTCCCATGAACGTATCTCTCATCTTCATCCAATGTCATGTTATCCTAAATAATAAAGTTATAACGACCTCAAACCAACTAAAATCTATCTAAAAAATTCCACAATATACTGAAAATTATCATAACTTAAAACAACGGCAGGACCAGGAAATTATACAATGGATTCAAAGAAATACTAGAATGTCACACCGAGAGCAATTTTTGAACTCCCTTTGCCATTTTACTAGAATTTTTCCTTATGTTAAGGGGATTCAACAGTTTAAATATAAAAAATAAAAATAAAAGTCGCGTTTGCCCTATTTGTGCAGTGTAAGCTTTCAATGAAGGGGATTCAATTGAACCCCTTTCTTCAACTTAGCCCCGTCTGTGCTGTTATAGATTTATAAGGCTTGGCTAGCCGTGAAGAAAATTCTAAATTAGTTAAAGAATGAGAAAGCATGATAAATCCTTGTATTTAAGAAGCAAATCAAGAACCAAATCGTTATATCCAGATATACCAAATACATTAAGCAAAGAAACAATATTAAGAATACAATACCTGGCAAATTGCCTTCAACTCTTCTATAAGCTGTGGAGGAATTTCCCTATGATAACCTTTTACCACATAATTTGTGCTATCTTTGCCACCAATTTTCACACTTCCCAAAGAAAAAATAAAATCAATGTCGACATTTCAAAATCATCCAAAAGATCAATGAAACAATTTATATTTCGCCTGACAAATTTCACTATTCGATCAATCAATTATGCCTCAATCTCAGGAAATCATCTCTATCGATTTCACTATATTCAAGTACATTTCATTCCAAACATTCTAATATTGAAACGCAGCATCTTCTAGGTCAAAGCATGTAACTTTCTGATTGTCCAACATGATTATGTTTCATATACATGCTCATTTTGACAAATAAAGAAAATACATTTCTTTCCGATGACCATCATTATTTTAAATTACCTGTTGGCCAACATGAATTATTCATACATAAGCTCTAAGAAAAATCAAAATTTCCAAATTGCTAAACCAAAAAAATTATCATTTTTTCAAATAGTTAAAACCATCATAATTCTAAGTTCTCTAATATCCCCCATAAATATTCAGAAGAAAAAATTGAGTTCATTTTCAAGAATACCCAAAAGAAAATGTCTATTCTTTCCAATTGTTAAAGCACACCACAAAAGGGTAGAACTGTAAGGTAATAATTCTACTTCAGGGAAATATTTATGGCATTACTAATTTATGAATAAAGTGAATACCTATTTGGGTCAAAAAGTGGAGCATCACTGAGACAGAGTGAGTGTGAGTGGAGAGCAAGAGAACCAGCAGAGACAGCAAAGGCTAAAGGGATTAAAGAAGCAATCCATGAATTATTTGAAGAGGGTTTTCTAGAGCAAATTACAGGTTCTGCAAGGCTAGAAGATGGAATTTGGGGCCTCTGGAAAATTGAAGTTCGCTGTAGATTAATGCAAATGGGTTTTGAGCAAGAACGTAAACGGGAAAACAATGAAGAGAAAGTCATGGCCAAAAGCTAATTACAAAAAACAGTATACAAGGGATTCGTGGACTAATTGCGGTCTGAATCGGAGAACCAAAATTTGGATGTTAGTATAATAATATGGCCAAAGTTTGTTGTTGAGTTTTGGAAGTATGATGTTGATTATTACAAGTGTAAAACAAAAGCCAGTGCGGATTAAACTTAGAAGACAGAATAATACTAGTGATGTGTAGGAATTTATCCAAGTGTGAAGCTAACAAACAAATCTTGAAGGAGAGAAAAAAGAAAAAAAAAATATATATATATATATACACTCAATATATACACATATGCTCCACTATCCATCATTGCTACATCAGTTAGAGAGAAAGTATTAATAGTACATTTAATATACCACTTATGAGCCGTAACAACCTGCATCATTCCTAAAAACATATCAGAATTTTCATTAATCGAATCAATCTGATCAGAAATTTCTTTTCCCTTTTCATTTGAAGATTCGGAAATTCCTTTAGCCGAAAAATCAGTTAGAGAATTATTTTTCTCAATTTGAGTAATCCGGTGATCACAAATCATTTGATTTTGTTTAAGAGACCTAATATCCTTTTTCAAATTTTCAATTTCTATCTTCAAATCATCAAAAAAGCATCTCTGCTAGGTGTACTGGACTTATGAAGTCGTTTATTAATTTCAGACAAAGAATAAGGCNAAAATATTTAGTAGGAACAAGACCCTCTTGAATACAACTTACATCTGCTCCACTATCAATCATTGCTACATCAGTTAGAGAGAAAGTATTATCAATCAAGATAGTACATTTAATGTACCACTTATGAGCCGTAACAACCTGCATCATTCCTAAAAACATATCAGAATTTTCATTAATCGAATCAATCTGATCAGAAATTTCTTTTCCCTTTTCATTTGAAGATTCGGAAATTCCTTTAGCCGAAAAATCAGTTAGAGAATTATTTTTCTCAATTTGAGTAATCCGGTGATCACAAATCATTTGATTTTGTTTAAGAGACCTAATATCCTTTTTCAAATTTTCAATTTCTATCTTCAAATCATCAAAAAAGCATCTCTGCTAGGTGTACTGGACTTATGAAGTCGTTTATTAATTTCAGACAAAGAATAAGGCGCAAAATATTCAAATTCGTTCTTATGTTTTTCAAAAGGTTTTGAACTACTAGAACTAGAACTTGCAGCTAAATTAATAATTTTTTCACGAAGTTTTTCATCGGTAACTTCTTTTAAAAGTTCTATTACATTATGAGATGTAATAGTTTTCATATTCAAATCATGAAATTGTGATTGCAATTTATAAAATTCGTCATCATCACAAGTACAAATATCACCTTTGCAAGTTATGCAAGAAGTATCAATATTTTTATCACTATCAAATAAATCAATTAACTCAACTTCATCCTCAGATCCAGTATCAGAGTAATAGTCAAATTCTGATTATAAATAGTAGACTTATCATCAAATTGAATACAAATCCTACCATCCGGATTTTGAGTAACATGCGAAAATTCAGTATTTGACAAGTTGTTAGTAATCTGACTTGGGGATATAACCGAATTTAAAGTCCAAGTAGTTGAGAAATTAATTTCTTCCCACCTAATAGGTCTCCTAGTGGTGACCTTGGACCTTGCAAAATTGGTTTCTACCAGTATGGTCTGATCTAATGTATCGTATAACTTACATCTAGGATTCAAAGTAGATAATAATTTAAAATAAATCCTATAAGACAGACATATAAGTTCAGAACCAGGCGCATAATTATAACCATGCGTTTTCACATTTAAAGTCAAGGCATCAAGAATATTAACATCAGAAAGAGATAGTTGCAGATTGGGTTGAGTATTAAAATATACTGGACCATAGGCCACAGTAGATTCAATCGAACCCATCAGAGATTGTCTGAAATTCAGATTTCTAGCATCTCTAAGAGCTGCTAAAAAGGTCTCTGGTAATCCTTTAAGGGTTAAAGGTTTAAACGCAATTTGAACCATACCAATATGCAGATAATGATAATGATGTTTATATAAATCTATATCGTGTTTGTTTAACAAACGAATAGTCTGTTCAGACGAATTTAATGCCAAAGACTGTTCAGTCGTTTTTATCAATTGTTTAGAAGAAAGTTTATCAAACCAACCATAATCATAAATGGTTTTTATAGAAACTTTAGGAATCGTCCATTTATTTAACAAATCAAGGTTTTGAGGTATATCTACCTCTTCAAGTCTAGTACTTTTAGTACTTGTTTCTCCCAGATCCATTCCAAAAGCTTCATATCTATATTGAAAATTTCACATCTATTACATACGTCTCATGAAAGTTCCTAGGCTCTGATACCATTTACACCAGGATCAGGGTATGCAGGCGGTAGTCCGCACGGCCATCCAGATCTAGCTGTTTCAGTACCTTTGAAGATTGGCAGTAGTCCGCACGACCAGTAAAGATTTGAAATATACNTATATTGTTAATATGCCGACCTAGAATTATTTTTCAATTGTAGTTATTGTTTGATCGAAAAACTGGTTTTGAAATTAAACAGTTTAAATTTATATTTTTTAAGGGCCAGTAGCAATTTGTTTGATTTGATACAGGATAATGAATAAAGATAAATAAAAGATAGCAAAATAGATTAAAAAGAATAACGCGACCGGAAAACTCTTCTTTTTTTCAATCCCGAGCTCTACTCACGAATATGGCTGAATTACAAAGCTTAGTCAAAGAAAGGCTAGCACAAGATGGCATTTTTATTACAGACAAAGTTGTTATGTGTGTATTCGATGATCCTCCTTATAAGCGTTGTAGTAGCTTTTATAGCGGTGAGAAGAGAACTCTCATTCCGAGAAGACAACATACTAGTGGATTAGGTAGTGGGTAGTGGGATCTTTGATATTGGCTTTTATTTCGGCGCAACGTAGATATCCACGATCTAAGGATAAGGTTTATTGAGTCTCCGAACTTATTCGACAAACTCTCCAATGCTTGACCCTTCGATGACCATAATCTCAAAATCTTCTGAATTCGGACACAGGTCCTGTCACTTGATTTCTAGTCCTTAATTGCCACGTGGGACTTTTCGGTCAAGCCACATAAAATAGGATAATTTTTACCCATATAGTCAGTCCACTCACTTGCCGGGCGATTCGATAACGAATGCTCGATAAGTGGTAGTCTTATTTTCTTTGTAAAAATCTATTTTGCTGCGAATTCTTTCTTTGCAGGAAAGAGTTTCATCGAAATTCAATCTTCAGGATGCGACTCATGTGTAGTCTGCAATTATTACTCAAAAACACGTGGTCGTTTTTTGTTGGACTCCTCACCTGTTACAGTTTCTAGGAAATGATGACTACTTATGATATGGAACCTTTCCCGATTTTGGCTGTTATAGAAGGAGAATTTTTCCGCCTATATATATTCAGTTGTGGGACTTTCCATTAACTCAAAGTCCCTTTGCTGATCTCATTCTTTGCCTTTCTTGTTTTTCCCTTACTTTCCATTCAATTCTTCCTTCTTCTATCCCCCATAACTCACATAGATCCCCAAGGCTTCAACTTCTTTTCAATAGACGACCAACCTTCTATGCCTTTAGCCAGTGGTGCTTCTTCACCTCCGCCAGGAATCGTCCCTTTTTCTGCATTTATCACTTCTACGAGGACTTTACTTGTTGGTCCTTCTGATAAAAGCTCCCAAATCTCACAAAGACAGAAAATGGAAGCAGACCTCTAAGCGTACAATTTGGGAGGTTCTTTCCAAAAGTTGGGATTACAAGGGAGTGATTGAAGCATGGAGCAAGGAGGTAGGACAATACAGGGGTTCTCATGTTGATAACATAGATTCCCTTGTTCATGAGGAACATGTTCTCCAGATCCTTCGTGATTATTGATAGGGTGATCGTGTCGCCATTCACATTCCTCATGCGACCGAAAGGATTATCAGTCATAGACCGGGTTCCTCTTTCGTCTATACTTATCTGTTTACCCTTGGGTTTGAACTCTCGATATATTATGTGATGTTTTACTTTTGTCGCCACCTCAACGTGTGTTTAGTCCAAGATGATCTGAACGTATGGAGACTTGTCGCGTGCTTCCGTTTCTTAGTAAGTGTAGACTACATTCTATTCTCTCTCTCTCTCTCTCTCTCTCTCTCTCTCTCTCTCTCTCTCTCATCTCTACATATGTTTGCTCCCAAGCCACTTAGGGGAAGCATTATTTCGATGGCTAGTCGAGGTACTCGGACCCTTGTGGACGTCGAGGATGACCATGATAGGGGGTGGTTTGATCATTTTGTTACATTTCCTACTCATGAGTTAGACAAGCCCAAAGATGGGCTTATTTCGAAGAGGTGGAATGAAAGATGTAAGCATAGTTCCTGTTATCAGCGCTCTTTATTTTCCCCTCCCCTTTTCCTTATCTTATATTGCTCTGGTATTCCTCTTTCTTTTTTGGCAGCCATGTTGATAGCCCCGGAAAGGTGTTCCGAACTTTGAAGAGTAGGTGGGAAAGATTTTAGAATCCTCTTCAATAACAGAGATGTCCTAGAGATTCATATCGAGGCCTCGGAGTGGCGAGCTAAGAATCGCAGTAACCAGTCATTCCAACTACATTTAAGCAGTTTGAGCTTCCTATTCTAACATATCTCTCTCTCTCTCTCTCTTTATTTTTTATATATCACTTTATTCTTTGAGAAATGTCGCTCTGCAAGTGTTGATAATGCTCCCCACCTCCGTTGATTCTGTTCAAGAAAGGGTCAGGTAGTTTTCACCTTGAAAAGAAGAGCGAACCCTCTGGTTTCCATTTCGGTGGGTCTTCCTCAAAAAAAGAATAAGGTCGAACATTCATATAGGTCTTGGCGGTATTTGGGATTTTCCCAGAGCTATCCCCCCCTCCCTAAGCGTGCTCAAAATAACACTCCCATTGAGTTGGACGATTAGGGATCGGATCCCCCTGCTCTGAATTAGCGGAAGAGGTTTGTGAGGACCAAATTTTGGAGTCCCCTATTTTGGAGTCGACGATTAACAAACCCTCTTACTTGGATTGAGAAAAGAGGTAGATATGGCCGATACCTTCGAGAGACCTTCCCGTCTTCATCCACTGCATCCTTCTATTCCTCCCCTCCTCCCCTTACCGGCTCTTAACGAGCATCAATATTCACCTGGTTTTCATTAATGTTCATATGGGGGTCAACCTTCT